GTGTGTGTGTGTGTGTGTGTGTGTGTGTGTGTGTGTGTGTGTGTGCGCACCACTCACCGGGAGCACTTGAAGATGACAGAATATCTGCGCTCTGCTTGGAGATGCTTGAGCCAACAGCAGAGTGGGGGATGCCTGCTGATGTACTAAATGAATAGCCGGGCTGCCGTATAAGATGATTAACGCTAATAACTCTATTAGTAAATGCCTTTCGCCATCATTTATTTCTTAACGTGGTGAGTCAGTGGAGTTGGATGGGAAAAGCATGTTAGAAATGTGATGGGCAGGAGGCTGAGCTAATGCATAAAATGCAGAGATGCCAGAAAGCCCAAAGATGATAAAGGACAAATGGTTTGAGGGCGAAGGTACGTGACGCTGTGTAACGCCTGGATTGTGAGAACTAGGACAGAGACACGGCTCTGCGGGGCTTTCTGAGGCCCTGCGTGGAAATCCAGCTCTGTCGGGGCTTAATGAAATCCCGGAGGAGTGAGGAGGACTGCCTTCTCAAAGGAGGGAGGACTCCTGTTACCAAATGCATAGGCTTAAAGGGAGGTCAAAGTTTGCACGCACCTATGAGAGTGCACAAGGAAAACAATCAATCTAGGGCACTTAAGAAACTGGGGAAAACACCCAGACTCAGAGCCTTGAAAAAAGATTGGTTTCCATATAACTGTGGGTTCTTGTTTCATGGCTAGGCTGATGTACTATTAGGTTGCTGGCACCAGTTTTTCCTGGGAAAAATACCACTTCCTTATAAGAGAAGATGAAATATGCATCACACTGGGATAATTGTGATTAAAGCCAACAGCATTTTGGAAAAAGGAGGTTCATAAAGGTGCCCAACTAGCGTGTTATAAAATGAGCTGCACTCACCTTTATGCGCTACATGCCACGATGCCAAAAAGCAGGATGCTTAACCAAGAACGAACCTTCAATGCTATGAGGAGTGGGAGGGGATTTGAAGGAAAATACAGAAAAAATCCTATCTTTCAGCTTCAGTAACATTTTAACACCACGTGTCACAGCTCTGGTGGAGAACGGGCCTGAGTCTCATCAGAAAGGAACCTCTCTAGCTGCTGGAGTGGTTTTGGGATGAACAGCTCTAGTTCTGTTATATAAAATAGTAAAGGAAAAAAGCCTGTTCCAAGTAGGCAGGCAGCTCACAGCTTTGCCTGCCGCTCTCCTGTGGTCCCTGTTTGCCTTTATGCTGGTGTAGGTGGACTGCTGAACCATTAGAGCAGAGACTAATGGTGTGATGGTAGGAGATTAGGCTTGCTCCACTGTCCAAAAAGGTTGGGATCATTTTTGGTCAGATGTAAGGGAAGAGGTTCCCCCCGGGGACAGGGGGCAAGTGCAGAACGGCTGCTTCGTGCCACTGAAGTTTCTAAACTCAGCAATCATTTAATCTGGTGGTAATAAAGTAAGGCTTCACCTTGATGAATCCAGAGACGTGACAGTGCCTGCGAGGACAACCTCTGCAAGGCATCACAGACAACGAGGGCTGGGAGGGACCTCAGGAGGTCGCATCTAATCCACCCCCTGCTCCAAGCAGGGCCAGTCCCAGCCCCAGCCCCAGCCCCAGCCCCAGCCAGATGCTGTTAGTGCTTCTGGGCTCAATCCCAGCCACCTTGAGAGACCAGGGAGCAGGGACTGTCTTGCTTCCTGAAGGCTTTTTCCTCCTCTGAGGATGGATCTTCAATTCATTTTCAGGTCTGGGGCTGCCCCGAGCACCTGGAACAGAAGCACAGGGGAGGGTTGGCCCTGCTGCCCCCACGCCTGCTCCCTGGCTGCAGTAGCGCCCTTAGGGGAGGACAAACCAGGGGGCCCCAAAATGTTGTAACAATTTTTTGGGGGGGGGGGGAATGAAGTCATTAAAAACGTTGTTCTTTTTTCAGCTGATGAATACGTTTCATACATAGGGCAAAGTGAAACGGAAATCAAAAATACCCGACTTGCTTATAGGTCATCAAAATCAAGCCTCTATGGGGCCCCAAATGACTCTCTTACGCAGGGCCCCAGAAACTGTAAGGCCACCACCAACCCCAAATCCTGGAGCTGCAAGGGGGGCTCCTGCACTCCCACCTTGCTGCCAGCAGGAGGCGCTGTGCACTTCCTGCCCCAGGGGGGTGCACAGAGCGGGGGCAGCAGGAAAGCAGCGGTGGGGCAAGGGAGACCCTCCCCGCCCCCGGTATGCAGCTTGCTTTGCAGTGCATATTGCTAGTGCTGCAGTGCATACGGCTTGCTTTGCAGTGCATATTACTTGCTGTGCAAGGCATACTGCTTGTGTTGCAGTGACTGCCGCTTGCTTTGCAGTACATGGCTGTGTGCCTCCCCCCCGTTGCCAGCTGTTCCCAGGGAGTCTCGCTGGAAGCGCTGTAGCAGCGGAGGGATGGAACAACTCGATGATCCGGCGAGATCAGTGCACGCTGCAGCACACCCCACATGCAGCTCCCCTGCAGCATACAAGCAGCTCCCTGGTGGTCTAGTGGTTAGGATTCGGCGCTCTCACCGCCGCGGCCCGGGTTCGATTCCCGGTCAGGGAACATCCCTTTTTCTTCCTCTTTCCAGCCGAGCTTCACCCTCTTGGGGTCGGCGCGCGGCTTGGCTGTTGCATTGCCCAGTATTGCATTGCAGTGCTCGGCACCGCACCGGGTTTAACACCGCGATTGCAACCCCCCTCCCAGGGATTCCACCCCCCGCCGCCCTCGAGGGTGCCCTGTGCGCATGCGCTGCTCTGGAAGGGGAGAGGGCGTGGCTGCTGCGCGCGCACCCCCCTCAGCCCCGCCCCTGCTCGGTGTGGCTGCCCCGCGCAGCGGGCGGAGCGGACCAGGCCCAGGTGAGCGGCAAGATGGCGGCCTCCTTCTGGGGGGGGGCACGGCCCTCCCCCCCTTGTGGGGAGGGGGGAATTCCCCCCATAGGGGTGCAGCTTTGGGAGGGCATTCCCCTACCTCCGCAATGGGGGTGCAGCTTTGAGGGGGCACTGTCCTGGGGGGAAGGGGGGCACTGCCCTACCCCCACCCTGTGTGGGGATGCTCTCCCCCCCATGGGGGTGCAGATGGGCGCAGGGGGGCGGGTTCGTGACGTCGCCCACATCTGCGTCTCCCCGGCGGGGGCTGCGTTTTCGGACAGGGGCTTCTCTGGAGGGGAGCCCACCGCACGTATGTATTTATTTCTTTATTTGTACGGCCTCATCTGCTGCCGAAGCAGACGCCGTTAGGCCACGGCCTGGGGCTCGGCTGCCACGAGACTTGAGACGTCTCCCTGGGTACATGACACATTAGGAAAAAAAAAACCCAGAGCTAAGAGGTTTTTCTTAAAAATAAATAAATAAGTATCTCTGTTCCGGTGTATCAGATGGCTGTCAGAGGCTGTCCGTTCTGCGTCGGCAGCGTTTGTTTCAGTTTCCAAATGGATTCTCTTTAACCGAGCAGCCCAGGTGTAAGGGCAAGCTGTCCAGGTCGCCGTCCATCCATCTTTTGTTAGGAGGGGCGCGGTCGTAATTCGCCTGGTTATGGTGAAAAGAGGGATGCCAAACTTATGTGGGGGCCACGCGCTGGCTCTGCAGTCGTCCTTGCCGCTCTGCAGCTCGCTCTTAATGAAGAGCCGGGGGGGAGAAGCCCTCCCAATTAAGAGCTGTTGAGTTTCCTTCGAGGTCTATTAAAGAGCAAGGTGGGGATGCTAAAATCCTGCCCCTGTCCTAGGCCTGCAGCCGGATTTATCTATGGGAGTGTTGCTAAACAGATTTCTTTCCCTGTTCTATGTCGTCTGCGAGCGCATCTCGAGCGTTGTCAACAGAGATAAGCATGCATTATTGTGACTCCCCTTCTTTGCTTTGTATTGATTATCATAAGTTACAGTTTTAAAGTATGGGTGAAACCCATCTGGCGGCAACCGAGCTCTGCGATGTAGCAGTGAATATGCTTTATCGAGAGATGTCTGAGAGAAATAGTAGACGAGACATGCTGCGGGCATATGTCGTAATGCATGATAGCTCTGAAAGTCTTTCAGAAAATGGTATGAGTAATTGATGCGCGTCTTGCAGCCCTCATAATGAAAAATACCAAGGGACTTCTTTTGGGCTTAATTTTCATAGCTTAATTGCAATAATTGGCTATTTTTACTGAGTCTGTAAATGAGATGGCTGTGTGTTATACCAGAGTAGCTGCTAGAGATTCAACACCAGTGATGTGGTCACTCATGATTATCACAGCTGGAAAAAAATGGTCCAAGATGTTATTTTTTCTTGGACCCGTATATCAATAGATGGCTGGTGCTGGGTGCTAAATGCTTTGGGAGATCAGACAGGTTGCAAAATAGACTTCTAGGCCCTAAATGATAAGTCCTCAGTCTTGAAAATCTTGGCTGAGTCCAATTGTCATAGTTTAAACTATTGGGCAGATAAAACTTTGTCATTGATGCTTGATTTATTGATCATCCTTTCTTTTGTAAACTTCAACTAGTTGACAAAAATGCCCTGTTTTTTTTTTTTTTTAAAGATATTTTCTGTGAATGTCAGGGTAGTTTGGCAGTCAGTATTAACATTCAAGGCTCAGCTTATTTTTTTAACTTATATTAGGTTAAAAGCAAAATTTGTGAATGGTTCTAGCTTTGATCAGTTTAAATGTCATGGAGGCTTCTCTGGGAGAATGAGCCTAATTTAGAAATGGAAATGGTGAAGAAAACTTCCTTTAAGTTCAAAATGGCCAAGCTGTTAAGAGCTGTCAGGGTTTATGTTGCTGAAAGATGATGATGAAGATGGCTATTATTATTAGCTCAATTTTTATAGGGGTAAGAAAAGTACAAGGTACTTGGGGATTGAAAGAAAAGGCTATCCAGCTGCCTGGACTATGAATTTGACCAACCTCCAGTGTAAACAGTGCACATTTACTGTAGGGACTGCCTACATGATGATTTTGCACCTCAGTAAGACTCCTCGCCTTGTGTCAGAGGGCTAGAAATTGAGTGGACTGGACCAAGTCATGTCAGGGCTGGTTTAGAAGCCATGAAATCAAATGCTTCTATTTGGTTTCACAAATTTGTTCAATTAAACTGAGCACAGTTGGGTTAGGCAGTAGACAGTGGGCTTGAAGGATGATTTTCATTGCAAGTGGTTTATATGCTTACTGATGTGCAGATAAGAGGAGGTTGTTAGGTTGTAAGCAGTAGATAACAGCTTGGGACTGGTTTGTGTGCTAAGTGAATAAGGCAGACAAGGTTCTTTGAGTAATTAAGTGAAAATGCATTTTCACTTAGGCCGATACACTGAGTACCCTGTAAATCTTGTTTGATTTTGACCACTTGGGGAGGAAGAAGGCTACTGAGTGGGGTAGAAGTAAGCATGCTGCTGTGTTTTATGTGTATTGGGTTGGGCTCTGTATTAAGAAGGGTGTTCAGTTAATTGTGTGCATGTAACCTAACTTCAGAATGATAGTTTAAGTATCCAGAGATTCAAATTACTTAAAAAAATGCTAATAAATAGGCTTCCATTCAGCTTTTTTTTTTTAATTTTAGGCCTCACATGATGTTTCCTGTGCACATCTGCACCACTGTTGTATTTCTGAGATGAACTTGCAGGTAAATTCTGATAAGACCAAAGGATTCTGCCTGTGGCAGTGCTGAAGCTTAGGGCCCCCTCCTGTACTAATCATCAGTACTCTTCTGGGAGCTGTCCAGCATGGCATAATCAAAGGAGGCCTGCGTTTCTTCTCTTGACTCTCCACTGATGGCCTCCTTTCTCCGTGGCCTCTTGCCTTCTCTGCAGCTAGCTGGGTAGATGAGTGAGCAGTAGCAGGAAAAGGGACCAGCTGCTTTTCTCTCGCCCTTATACTCCATCTCGGCTGGACTGAGGACTGGAGATTTAAAAAAATGGGCTGGATACTCTCGTTGTCAGGGTATTATTTTCTCACCCCAAATTTGTAAACAGAAGACGTGAAGGACTATGATTCACCAATTACTCATCTCCCATAGGCAAAGAAAGTATGTCTACATTCACCTGTGTTGTAAGCAGGTTGGTCACATTAGTAAAACATTGATGAAGGAATAAGAACTTGCTGGGTACTAAAGAGGAAGGCAGCATACATCTTTCCTTCCCTTCCTTTCTGGTGGAAAAATGCTTTCCTTACTCTCAAAAGTGGCAATGTCTTTAACCATTAACGCGAATCATGAGAACTAGTATGGCATAGTTCTTGGTTGTCCTGTCTAAGTAGTTCTTTTGTTCTTGTCTGGCCACCTGTATTGGCTGACAAAATTCTCTTCTAAGAGCCGTGGTCTGGTGAGATGTAGAAAATTTCTGGGTTCAGAACAGGTAAAACTTAGATTTTTTTAAAGAGAAATGTTCTGTTTTCTCATGTCACTATCAATGAATAAGATTCTCTCTCAAATTTCAGGGAAGAAGGCTGTTGTGATGAATGTTCAGAGTTCCTATGGTGGTGGGTTTTCCTTTCAGTTACTGCTAAGTGCACTTACCAAAAATAAATGCTAGTTTAACATGAGCTTTTATGAACTCTTCTGGCTTCTATAGTAATGCTGAAACATCTGTGATGCCAGCATGGTAGAAATCCCAATGTCCCATCACAAATCAGTTTTCTGGTAAGTTAAATACTTGGTATGCAGAATAGGTGGTAAATGTGTTCTGGAAACTTTAATGTCGACCCTGGATAAAATAGGTGCTTCCAACTTTCAACATGTGAGTTGCTTAAAGAAAATTCATGGTAACTGGTAGCCAGTGCAGTCCTGCCTAGTCCTGTCCTTTGTTGGAATCTGTCCTAGATGGCAGTTCAGTTCCTGATCATTCAGTTCAATTTCCCCTGACTGTAGTTACGGGTTTTTTAGCAATTCTGTAAATTCTAAAAGTGTTTTCTAGTTTATGTAACTAGTCATTTTGTAATACTGAAGAACAGCTTGACTAATATACTGAGGTTTATGATTTTTAATAAGCTGTCAGTGCCAACTCCAAAACTAGTTCAATTACAGATACTTTATCTGCATCCTGTTATTTTTTGTGACTACCAATGACTTTCCTAGCATTGTAAGTGTTCTCTCTCTCCTTTTGGTTGAAAATAGAAACACAAACACGTCGTGATCAAGCAAAAATCTTAAATTGAAAAAGTTTTCCTCCTTCCATTTTTAATGAAAGTAATTTCTTAACAAGAATGGGTAACCTTTCTTCAGAAGTTCATTGGTGTCCCACTAATTATTTCTTAGGTTGAGACATTGCTAGAGGAAAATTTAAATATTCTGCAGTCTAGGGGTTCTCATTTATCAAATCAATAATTCCTTACTTGCTGATGAGATGCACTGTGTTGCCAGTTTACCCAAGATGGCAACACAAAAAGAATAGACATCTGTAAGTATTACTTGACTCACTTATTTGCCTCGACTTCTGGGTGGAACCAGTGTTTTAGATGAAGTCTCAGGGTGAACAGTTGGGTCTTAAGTTTGACTCTCAGATATTAGGTGGATTTTAGCTTTGAAAACATGCAGCTTATACTTTCCCAGAATGAAGAGAAATTAGTAGAAAAACAAACACGCAAAGAAACAGAATCCCCACAGAAGGGCTTTGGTCTGGACCTCTGCATGTTGAGTGTTTCCGTTGCTTAAGCTTCACGTGGAAAAGCTAGCTGCTGCTCCCTGTGTTGGTCCGTTACAGCGCATCTCTGCTGGATGATGGAGCTGCATAAATAGTTTGGTTCCAGTCCTTTTGTTCTAAGTAAGCAGGTTATAGCATTTTTCTGTGTATTAAAGAAAGCCATGTTCCCTCAAAGTGCTTTTGAAATGTGAAACTATCCTACTTTTGCTTTCATGTTGTCTTACCACTACAAACTCTAAGTGCTTATG